TACCATATGTCTTTTTTTTCAAACTTTGACACAATTTTATTTTATAAAAAAAGATTTTATGCAAAATGTTAGCAAAAATATTGAGCAGTTGATGAGATATTGCTATTTAAACTTCGACCTGGTTTTCATGACATTTAAAATAGTTTGTTTTTTTTAATTAAATGAGAAATAACAATAAAAAAAAAAATTAAGCATATTAAATGCTTTATTGATGCTTAATTCAAAAAATGCACCTAGAATGATGAACTATAAAAGAAACATGCCTAAAAATTAGGATAAAAACAATTTTTTATAACAGAACTTAGGGGTCAAATATCTTAACACATACTTGTGTAAATTTATTTGCATCTAAAATTTTAAAGTTACAATTTTAAGTCACAAGTCATCTAGCTGGAAAAACAACAAAAAACGTATAGAACTATAATTTTTAAGTTATACCATTTTTTTCAGAAATTTACTAAAAAAATATTTCTTAATACATAAAAAAAATAAACTAAATTTAATACAAAAAGCTACTAAGGAATATACATGATATTAATAAGATTTTTTATTATTTTTACCATATCTACATTAGTTCACAATATTAAACAGCCATTTCTTTTTTAATTGTTCTATTTTAACTTTTTCAAACATAACGTTGCTACTGGAACCAGAGTAAGCACTTGTGAAACCGATAACTTTTTAAATATGTTTGTGTTATCATCTCTTGAGGGTAGTTAAAACATGAACAACAAGCTTTGGGGTCAAAAAAGCTTCCAAATCACTTTCTTTTGTTTTGATTTGGGTTACCATGCTGATCCACTAATTATCATCACAGAATACCACTACATAACCTGTAAACAGCATCAAGTTGAAATGCATAACAAGTAACAGCATCAAGTTAAAATGCATCTTGCTGCTTTTAAGCTTGTTGGGTTATTGTTTAGACAGTGTCTGTACTACTTATTTTTGTACCAACCCTATTATCTCCAAGATCTATCAACTGATGAAATGATTTGTAACACAATAGTACCTCATTGTTCTTTGTGATGCAATTGCAATTGCAATCCTTTTATGTATATGAATAGGTACACGGAAATTGCAAGATCTGTGATTTCCAAAAAACATGCCAAAAAACACATTTTTTTAACATTTTTTAAAGTAGCATCAAGGAAACGTGATTTTATTTCTTTTTAGAAACATATATAAACTTAGATTGTTTTTGAATAAAAAGAAGATTTATCTTAATTTATGTGACTTTTATGTATGGTTACTAAACTAATTTATTAACTTTATTCCTCATGAAAATTTTGTTGATGTTCTCATGGTAAGATGTTGTCAAATAAAGGTTTGGTTATTTTTAAAACTAGCCGTTAAATTTTCTACAATAATTTTCTTTTTGCCTGCCAAATTTCATTGAAAAATAAGGTGACACGGATAGCCTACAAAATGTCACACTTTTCGTACCTAAATTCTGTTTTCCTGAATTCCGAACTAGATATTCGGTTGGGGTGGGAGTGGGGTGAGGGGCTAATAATTGTTAAAGCAATTATATTTGATTTATACTTTTAGCATTTAAATGCAAAAATTTTGTTTATTTAATCTTTATTTATAAATTTATTGTTCAGTATAAGGTTTAGAATTCACATACAAAAATGGCCACTTAGGACAACATTGATGTGGATAGTTTGTTTGATGTTTTTTTGTGTGACAAATACTATTTGAAAAAAAGATTTAAAGTATAATACCCAGTCAGGAATTGTATATCATATGATATTATACTATGTACCATGATATTGTACATAGTACCATAATATTTGTGAGTAATTTCACATTATCTAATATTGTAGCAAATTTCAACTTTACCAATAAAGTAAATACTTTTAGATACTTTTAGATAGGTTCTCAAAGCCTTCAGAAGTTATTATAAGCATTATTACTATTTTTTTTTTTTGTTTACTTTTAGAAATTATTATTTTATTAAGAATGCCATTACAAACTGGTCTGTTTAATGGCTAGCAGCTCAAGCTTTTTTTATTTCATCAACCACTTATCCACTACCCAACACCTAACTTATCCACTACCCAACACCTAACTTTAAGATAGACCTGTAATATTGGCTAGTGATGTGGAATAAAATAATAACAACTTGTTGTATATAAATATTACCAATTTCATAAAAAAAACATTCTTTTATGAAGAAAAAAAAAGTGTATTATTGTGAGGTGTAGGATTAGCACCTCCTCTGGATCCCTTGATGCGCCATTTACCTTGAAACTAATTTGAAATTATAGTCCATTTTTATATCTATCTTTGAGACCAAGTTATAGATAAAGTTATAGATATTTGAACAAAAATTGGCAAAGTTATGACAATTTATGTGATTTTTTTTTTTTTTTTCCCGACCAGTTTCATTAAAAAATCCATATCGAAAATTTGCTACTAAAAACCTCATAACTTTTTATAAAATTGTAAAATTTTCAAAATTTTTTCATCTTTAAAATACTGTATTTGAGGTACTTTCTATTGATATATAACATTCTAATATTTGATCAATTTTAAAAAATCAGTCTCTGTACCTAATATTGCTATTTAAACTTCGACCTGGTTTTCGATCAATTTTGAAAAATCAGTCTCTGTACCTAATTTGAACACTTTATACTTTTAAACACTAGTAAACACAGTAAACACTTTATATTTTTGAAATTCATACATGGTTTCTGATGTACTTGGTTTTAGTATGGCCATTTTAAACATTTTTTTATGGTCAACCATTTCACAATATCAAAATTTCAATCATATGGTGTCTTTCAAAGGATACATTGTGTGTAATTTTGTCTGATATAAAGCAATGCAAAATGATTTAGTATATCTTCTTTAGTGTTGTAGTATGTCACAACTGGTTGTAAAGACCATTGTTCAGCGTTGAAGAAATAACTAAGTATATTTTCTATAACAAAATTTTACAAATATTGTTTTTTATCTAAACTTTTTATTAAGTATATAATTGCCAAAAATTTAAAAAATGTAGTTTGTATATAAAAAACACTATAAAAATAAAGCAGAATGCATTTTTCAGTAGTTGAGATTAATAATTGTCACACCAAGTAGGATTTCTTAAAATATATCCTCATTGTTTGTTTTTTTTAAACTTTGAAAAAATTTAAGTATTAATTCTTTAGTAATTTCTGTAATAAGTATTATAGATTTAAATTAATCTTAACGTTTCTTAGTTCTATATACTTTTTGTGTCCAGTAAGATTAGCTAAAAAAATTTTGAAAATTTAAAAAAAAATTCTAAAATGTGGGAGTTTTAAAATATTGGAGGCTCAAGAAACCCATGTGGCTTTTTTTATCCAATGATCATTCATAAAACATAAAGATTTTAATCTGCAAGTCTATAGTGTAAACACAGTCATCTAAAATAGACTTTAATGGAATTTTGTATAGCTTGTTATAATAAAAAATTTGAAGCTTATTGATATTTTCTAATATTTAAATGATAAACAGCCAATTTTTTATTTAAATAAAAACTATTACTAATGGTGTTAGCCAGCCCAATGGCACCTTGTATAATCCGGAATTCCCAATAGGTTTAAAATTTCTTAAAGTCTAGATAGCATCACCATTAATACTGAAAGACGCAGCAAACATCTTGTCTAAACCATTTAATAACATAATAATCATGTCTTTGAAGATATCAACTTATCCAACTGATTGGAAATGCTTAAGAATGTGTGACGAATAATGCTTAAGAATTCTCCCATTTATAAATCAAAGTCCTACAACGACATTCAAAACTACTACTCAGCGAAATTTCCACTTATAATTTGTACATATAAATAAATTCATGAAGTATTTGCATTTTTTTTTTTGTTTTTGTTTATTACAGGAATTATTAGGAATAAATAAGCAAATAATATTTTAGTAGAAAATAATTATTAATTTATTTCGTAAAACTTAAAAGTTAAAAATATTTTGAAAAAACAGGCGAAATTTCTATAGTTGCATCTAAGGTAATCCTTTATAATTTTCGTTCTAGATAATAATTTTTTAATTAGTTTAGTTTTTAATAATGTGTGCTACCACCTTTTACACTAATTAATTTGAAAATTTGGTTTTCATACTTTTTATTTGTTTAGATTTTCTAAACAAACCTTTGAAATACCATTCCATGCTTGTTGGATAGATGTTTTAAGTTCTTATATACTGTCGAGAATTTCCATATACAGTTCACGCCAATATTCCCCATAAATTTTCAAAAGGGTTCAAGTCAGATAAACACGATAGCCAATCCAAAACCTTTATATTTTTTTCCTGGAACCACTTTTTTACACTTCATGCCATGTGAATCGTCGCATTATCTTGTTGGAAAATCCAGTTTTTTAGCAGCTAAACCTTCACTAAACTCTATTAAAACATCTTCTAAAAGATTTATGTAGTTTCTTGCATTTATTTTTGTTGTAATAAAACATATTGGAATTTTGCCATGGAAACAAAATGCGGCCTACACCATAACTGTCCCTCCTCAAAAGTTATGACTCATAGCTATGCTATCTTTTTTTTTCAAATCATGCCAATAACACTTAAAACCATCAGGCCCATCTAAATTAAACTTTTTTTGAAAAAATCTGAAAAAAAAATCTGAAAAAAATCTGAAAAAAAAAAGTTTTTCTACATCCTATGTCATGTGGTTCTTAAATCAAGCAAACTTAAATCTTGCACTTTTATGTTTTTTTGTCAATGGTGGTTTTGTGATCATTCTTTTCCATTGGAACCGTCGTGATTTTGACAAAATTAGTTGGACTTGAGT